GATTCCTCATTTAAAGCCATTATACGTAAGTGCTCATATTTGTGGAAAGCCGGTTAATAAGGTTTTTTATTGATAATAGAGCTATTTTTAACGTCATTCCTCTGAGAACCCTCAAGAGGCTTGGAAAAGAAGTTGGAGATCTGTCTCCAGTACACATTGAGATGACTAGTTTCACAGGACAACCGACCAAACTAGAAGGCATATTGGTTGCTCCTATTGAGGTGGGGGCAAAGGTAATTTCTACAGTGTTCTTTGTGGTGGATGCAAAAACTACTTATTCAACATTGCTAGGAAGGGACTGGATTCACACTTCAAAATGTGTTCCCTCGTCACTCCATCAACAAATAATGTTTTGGGAAGGGGATTAGGTCTACAAGTTGGATGCAAGCCAAAACCCCTTTGATGCCTCAAAAAGCGTGGAAAATCAGTGTTGTATTCTGAGTATGTCCCCCTATCTCTCAAATAGCATTGTTTGATCAGGAAAAACTATGGAAGAGCCGCAAGCTTACCACTTAAGGTTATGTGTTTCAATAAGAAACATTCGTCATGTTTTAGTGGCTTTGACGTTAGCCAGACTTCTAAAATTTGTATTATCACGTTTATCAGAGAACTCAATACGTGTGATGTTTTAATTAAACAATTTTATTTAAACCAAATAATGGTTAAATTACGTAGCTATGGGGTTTGGGATAATTGTGTTGCTAAAGGCGAACGTTTTCGTTGGCCAGATCTTGGAGAAAACAGAATCTTCCATGTCCTCACAAGACCGCCTTATTGAATACAACCTAGGAACCGACCAAGTACCTAGAGTGATTCAGGTAAGTGGCTTATTATCCAAAGAACAGCAGGAACAGATGATAGCGCTAATACGGAGTAATATGGAATGTCTTGCATAGGATTATTCATAAATGCCCAGGTTAGCGCGGAGGTTGATTGAGCATCGGTTGCCCATAAAAAATGGTTTTAGGCTATACAAGCAACCACCCAGGAGAATCAGTCCTGAACTGCTCCCTCAGATCAAAGAGGAGATCGAGAAGTTATTGATAGCAGGCTTCATCCGACCCTGTCGGTACACTGAATGGTTGGAAAATATAGTTCCTGTAACCAAAAAGAATGGAAAAATCAGGATATGCATCGATTTCAAAGATCTTAATTTGGTAACTCCTAAAGACGAGTATGTCATGCCCGTGGCAGACATGCTAATCAATTCGGCTGCAGGATATAAGATTTTAAGTTTGATGGATGGATATGCTGGGTATAATCAGATTTTTCTGGCAGAGGAAGATATTTCAAAGACCGCGTTCAGATGCCCAGGGGCATTGGGAATTTATGAATGGACAGTAATGCCTTTTGGGTTGAAAAATGCAGGGGCTACATAGCAACGAGTTATGAATACCATTTTCCATGATCTTATTGGACAGTCAATGGAGGTATATATTGATGACGTGATAGTGAAATCGGCCGACTTCAGCACACACTTGGGTGACCTCGAGAATGCCTTTGCTCGGATGAAGACGTACAACCTCAAGATGAATCCAACTAAGTGTGCATTCGGGTATCAATTGGGAATTTTTTAGGTTGTTTGGTGCAAGAAAAGGGAATAGAAGTGGATGCCAACAAGGCCAAAGCAGTCCGGGTAGTTCGGCCTCCCCGAACCATCAAAGAGGTTCAAAGTTTCTTGGAAAAGGTAAATTATTTGAGGCGGTTTATGTCAAATGTTGCAGGGAAACTAAGACCCATTACCAAGCTGTTAAAAATAAAACAACCACTTTGGTTTGGGGTTCTGAGCAACAAGAAGCGTTTGAAGTGATTAAGCAGGCGCTAACAGAACCCCCTGTATTGGTTCCTTCAAAAGGTAACCGACCTTTAATATTATATGTGGCGAACAGTTTGGATGTGGTGAGTAGTATCCTGGTTCAAGAATGGGATGATGGAAAAGAGAGGGCTATTTACTATTTGAGTAAGACCTTGGTAGGGCCTAAATTAAATTATACCATACCAGAAAAAATGTGTTATTCTCTGGTGTTCGCTTGTACTCGATTGGAGCATTATATCCTGCCAAGAGAAACTAAAGTGGTCTCCAAGGTGGATTTGGTTAGGTTGCTCTTGCACAGGCCTACCATGCAAGGGAGATTGATGAAATGGGCTATCAAATTGGCCCATTTTTCTTTAAAATACAGACCTCTCAAAGTAGTGAAAGGTCAAGTGGTGGCTGACCTATTGACAGAATTTACTAGAGGTGAGTCCGAGGCCGAAGAGAATGAACTAGTGCCTTATATAGGAACTAACCCCTGGAAAATGTTTTTCGATTGATCTCGGGCAAACAGAAGATCAGGGGCAGGAGTAATTCTGAAAGGGCCTGACACACAAAAGATTCTGCTACAGCTATACAAATGGAGGAAGTAACCCACAATTCGGCTGAGTACGAGGCATTGATTTTGGGGCTAGAGATGCTGGTGGCAAAAAACGTTCAGTCGGTCGTCATTTACGGAGATTCATAGTTTATTATCAACCAAGTCTTGAGGCGGTACGTATGCAATTACCCTCATTTACGTCAATACAGAGACGTAATGCACCATCTATTGTCTAGAATTTCAGAAGTAACCGTCAAGCACATCCCAAGAGCAGAAAATCAGCAGGTAGACAGTTTGGCCTAGGCTGCATCCAGGCAGATTGATATTGGAAATATTAATATGTCTGCAGACTGGAGAACTGAGATTATTGCTTATCTGTAAGTACCAGACCCATCAACACCTGTGGGGGTCCGGTTAAAAGCTTTGCGTTTTCAGTTAGTGGAGGGAGTGTTATATAAGAGAATCATAGAGGAGGTTTTGCTGAGATGTTTAGGTCCGAAGGAAGCCTTGGAGGTGATGCAAGAGGTTCACAGTGGAATATGTGGAGCACATCGAGCTGGTCTTAAAATGAGATGGGCTATTAATCGCATGGGTTTTTACTGGCCGAAAATATTTGAGGATTGCATCAAATTTGCAAGGGGATGCCAAGAATGTCAGAGACATGGTCCATTGAACCATCTGCCGTCGGTGGAGTTTCAGGCAATGGTTAAACCATGGCCTTTTAAAACCTGGGCACTTGACGTTATTGGTAAAATCCATCCGTCTTCATCTAAACATGTTTCATTTATTTTTAGTGGCTACCAATTATTTTACCAAATAGGTCGAAGTAGTTCCTTTGAAGAATGTGACGCAAAAGGAACTGATTGAGTTCATACTCAATCATATCATTTACCGGTTTGGTATTCCGCATACCCTCATCATTGATCAAGGTCTGGTGTTCACAGACGAGAAGTTTATTGAATTTTTTGCAAGTTTTCACGTGAAACTTCACCATTCATCACATTACTATCCACAGACCAACGGGCAGGCAGAGGTAGCAAACAAGATCATTATTAATATCATTCGGAAAATGATAAAAGGAAATCCCAGTAAGTGGCATACGTTGTTGCCCCAAGCTTTATGTGCCCATCGGAATAGTAAGAGTTCGTCTATGGGATTTTCTCCTTATCAGCTACGTTTGGCCAGGATATTGTACTTCCAGCCGAACTCAACATCCACACCTTCCGAGTGGCTCATACTAATATGGACTACACGATGGAGTATCAACAAAGTATGATGCAACAGTTGGAGACAGTGGATACAGAATGTATGGAAGCCTTGAAACAAATGATCCGGCAGAACAAGGTGCGGGCACGATATTATGGGAAGAAGGTGTCTCCTCGAAATTTTGCGGAAGGAGATCTAGTATGGAAGACAATATTACCCACGTACAAGAAAGTTGACCAGATGGGTAAATGGTCCCCGAATCGGGAGGGGCCTTTCATTATTCACAGAAAGGTCGGGAACGGAGCTTTTATTATTGTGAATCAAGAAGGGAAATTAGTACATGAAAATATTAATGCCAAGTATCTGAAAAGGTATTTTCCTGCCTTTTTAGAACACTGTCATTAATTTTATTGCAAGAAATCTTAGAACCCTTTAAGGGTTTGAACCCACGAGAAGGGTTTTTATTCGTCATCCGAAAGGGTGACACAAACATGATCATCTTCTGGTTCCGAATCTTCGTCCCAATTTGCAGTAACCATTTCAGGTTCCTCGTCAAGGAGATCTTATAGGTCGGGGAAATAACGATCCCATTGGTCTTGCATTTCTTGAAGGTCTTGTTCGGTGCGAACTTTTATATCTTGTAGAGAATGACATTCTCGCTCAACAAGAACGCGCAATCTGGAAAATGTTGATCTTTGCTGACAGAAAATGTTGTTCCAGTTAAGATCAATGAGAGCGGCCATGACATGATGATCTATCATATCCATGTGATGATCAAGGTCGGATATGCGAGTGAGAATGTCGGTGAGGGGTTCATAGCCGGTGGATACACGTTCCATTAGGCGAATCGTACGATGTATGATTTTTCTACCCCTACCAGAAAACTTGAATTTAAAGTCGAGTTGCTTAAACACTTGTATCAGGTCTTCAACATGATGGCCAATAGGGTGTTTGCCCATAAAAATGGTTGCAGGGAACTTTCCCAGTTAGTGGCAGGAATACGAATTCGAGGAGAAACTATGTGTTGGAAGGTTTGAAGGTTTGTTGTGAGTTGTTCTTGCGAAGTTTGATTTAAATAGGAGATTTGTGTTTTAATTATGTGGTGCAAATTCGTGGATCAGTGATCAGGAAAAATAGGATAAATGAAGGTCAAAATATATACAAGGTTTGACATTTTGACATTAACAAAAGGAGGGCTCCAAGGGCGGTCTGTAGGTCTGCCCATTTTTGTTCAGACCGGGCCGTCCTTCGCTGATGAAAGGCCGCATGGTGTTCTTGTATGAGCCTCGACCGAATGCCCGCTTGTAGTTGGCTATGGAGGTTTGCTTGGGTCTGGCGTTGTTCTATTACCAGGCGACCCTCCTCTTGGATGCATCCGTCTAGAGTCTCAAGTTATTTCATTTTCTGGGAAATTTCGGTGGCCAAGTTGTGTCGCGCCTACTAGAGCTCACTCAACCGGGTGGAGATTTCATTAAAGTCTTCTATCACTTTTGACAGGGAAGCCTCAATAGCCGCAGTGTCGGGCGTTGGTTGAGACCGTGCAGTGTCGGATGTTGGAGGTCGGATCAAGGGAAGGTCGGCCTGAAGCTCGGTGATCCTCTCGATCATCCGATCAAGGATCGGGGTTGCCACAGACTTAGCATGAGTTTGCACCAGCAAGTCAATGGCCACTTGAGCCAGAGAATCAAGGTCTCTATGACTCAAGTCGGCAAATGACAAATCGGCACAGCGCATCACCACCGGTCTGGCAGGTGCCAGCAAAGGCACTCTGGTGAGAAAGTTGATCTCATGAGTATCCTGTTAAAACCAATCAGAGTGATTAGAAAGCTAACTTAAAGGAAAATTGGTGGAGTAATGTGGAAGTTACCTGAGTGAGGACGGCCGTGGCCTCGGAAAGGGCCAAGAGAACCGGGCCAGTAGTAGAGGACCAGGTCGAATCCTCGTCCTGGCAACTGATTCGGCGGCTGCAGAATGGGGACCTATAAAGCCCGGCTCCGAACCCTGAAGAAAGTTCAGATTGAGAAGGGTTGGAATTGGAAAATGAGAAAATGTAGAAGAGAGAAATGCTAACCACAGCTTCATGACTCTGGTTGACGGAGGCATCGCCCGACTCCGAGGAGGAGACCTCGACTGGTTCGGGGTGCTGGACTGGGTCGGGACGTTGGACTAGTCCGGGATTTTGGATTGGTTCGGGGGCCAGCAGAGCTGGTTTAGGGTTCGTCTGAACCAATTCAGGAGTTACCGACGGATAGTGGACGGTGGCAACTAGTTCGTCCATAAGAGCAACCACCGCAGGTCCCTAAGGTAAAGAGTATGACTTAAACTATAGACGAAAAGAATATAATCTTGCAATTAGTTCATACTCACCAGAAGCATATTTAGCCGGGAAGAGGTGGAGGTTGAAGACGGAACCTGCCTCAACGTCGGGTCCTCTTCCCGACGAATCACGGGCAATTCCACTGGTGGATCGGCCTGCTGCGGAATGACCACCATAGCCGGCGAAGAAGGAACTGTCTGTGTTCAAGGAAAAGGTGAAGTTAAAAATATTTTTTAGAAGGTAGAGGAGTTTGGAAATTACCTCTTCGGCTGGTGGGTTGGCTGGTTGGTCAGCAGGCTGGTCGGCTGGTTGCTCAGCAGGTGGGGGAAGCGACTCTAGAAACAAGAATCGTCAGAAGCACATAAGATAAAAACAAAAATGAAGGTTGAGTTAGGTTAGTCCTTATCGAGGTGTCGACGCACATTGGCGGGAAACCAGGCGGGGTCTATAGGTAATGACACAAAGTAATCCTCTACCATCTACCGATCGTACGCCGGCTCTGTGGTGGCCTTGGTTCGGGCAGCTCTCTTTTTCTTCGGGGCACTAGGGCCTTCAGCAGGAGCCGTCTGCCTCTTCTTGGGAACGGCTGCAGGGGGTGGAGAGCCTAAGATAAGGGCTGGAGGGGGAATGAGTTTCCCCAACAGCTGGTCAGAAGGAGGGGCCACCACAGCCCAGGTGGCCGACCATCAGGAGGGAAAAGCTTCAACCGACTTGGGGTCTCGGCGCAAAGGGAGGTAAGAATTGGACGTGAGATAAGAAGAAAGTTGTGAAAGATAAGGCAAAATTAAAGCAGGGATCACTCGCCTGTCGGGACTTTGGGTTATTAAGTGAGGTCAAGCGAGTGGACCTGGCAGACCTTGATAGCAGCCGAACTGACGGGACAAAAATTGCGGCTGATAGTTAAGAGTATAGAAAGACTTATGATTTTTCTTATCAAACCTGGGACTGGAAAAAAGGAATCAAGGTTTGAGGGCCGAATCCCAAGAATAGGGATAGGTCGGATGAGGTAAGGGATCTGGATATGGATGAGGGTAATTGGTATCCGAATAGGGCTAGAATAGTTCGGTGGCGTACTGTACGTAAGTCTCATAAAAAAAATTGAGTTGCTACGGTCGTCGAAAAAATGGCCGTAATTACAGGGTTAGAAGGATGGAGTATGGAATAGTTCGGGGTGAGTTGGGCAAGGGCTAACCCTAGCGACCTCTGAGGGTTCGGAGATATGGGTAGCCGGCTAAAAAAGGTGGTTGGGAAATAAAGCCATAGCCAGAGCTCAAGAAACCAAAAAGGGCCAAAGGCAGCCGTGTCCGCCCTTTTAGTAAATTGGCCAAAAAGAAGGTTCCCAATAAAAAGAATCGGCCATTGGCCAGATGAATGACTAAATCTAATTGCGAGGTCAAAACTGATTTGGAGGGGGGAAAAATTATGTATCTGTAAAGGATACAAGGATGGTTCAAATTTCGAATAAATATATATGTAAAATTGACCAAGCAAAGAAACCCACATACCTGCACAGCCAGAATAGAAGGAAGGCGGTGTTCTCCAGAGCGGTCGCTGGGGAACCGTCCGCACCTTGATGTCGGACAACAAAATTGGTCTAGCCCCGATCTTTCTCAAAGGTGCAGGCAAGCGACCAGCCTTCGTGGTCAAATGCCGGTTACTGACCATCCAGCGATCCCGACACCGGATCGTCGCCAACGACAGGGAGATGAACGATCATAGCCATATCCATCAAGGTTGGGCTAATCGCGCCAGTTGGGAGAAGGAAAATGCCCAGTTGGGCATTCCAAAAGGCCGCCATGGCTAGAAGGACTTTATCATAGAGGTACAACGGTTGGGTGGAGAGGTAAATGGCCTTGTCGATCCCCTGTCATCTCTATTGTTCGGCAAAAATGGGGGATAACCTGGAATACCAAGAATGAAAGGCATCTTTCGGATCGGTAAGATGGGTTTTGATATGGTCATTAACACGTTCAGGTTTGAAGTCAGGGTTGTTAATGGCTAAGGCGGTAAATGAAGAAATGATGCTCCTCATGCAAGAAGCATCCTTGAAGGAAGTACAGTAGGGGCGAAGAGTTAGGGTAAGCACAGCGGAGGAAACAAAAGGGATATCTGGATCAGAGCCATCGAAGGGCAAAGCGGGAACGTACTGGTTGGCCATGGTCGTAGAATAATGAAGCTCGAGTGAGAAAAGAAGAAGGAGGTTCAGCGAGAGGAGAAAGTGTATGTGGAAATAAGAAGGCGTAAGGAAGAATACGGAAGTGGAGGGGTTTTAAGTGGGGTTTTTACAAAACGCCGTGATTAAACAGCGTAATGATGAACAGACTCCCTCACAACGTCATATCTCACACAGATCGAGAAGTGACGGTAGGGAGTCCGGCGGGAGGAAGCAAATTATTATATATAAAATATTTTAGGGTTTTTTTTGGGCGTATAACTGGATTCTAACGTTTGGGCCCACAGAGAAACCCGAAAAGAAAGTTGGCCTTCGGACGTCCACTGAAGAAACAAGTCGGTTGGTCAAAAGCATGATTGGTCGGTTGATCAGTCGCTTGATTGGTCGCTTGGTCAGTCGCTTGATTGGTCGGTTGGTCAGTAGCATGGTTGGTCGGCCGATCATTCGCTTGATTGGTCGGTTGATCAGTCGCCAGATTGGTCGGTTGGTCAGTCGCTTGATTGGTTGTGTAATCAGTTGCCTGGTCTGGTCGCCCAATTGGTTGGTAGCACGAAATATAACTAAAGACAGTTTTTCAGGCGGTTGCAACCACGAGGGGGTTTTCCGTCAGTTACAACCGACTGCGCACATGATCCGATAACTGATTTAGAGAACATATAATAAGCAGTTCGCGTTCGGCAGAGGGCATCTTCAATCAGCATCAATTTTCAGTGAAAATTCACTTTGGGGATCATCTTTATGTTCTTTTCAATATTAGTTTGCTTTTATTTTTCTTACATTTCGTACGATATTTAGGAATCTTCGATTCCAGATATTATTGCAGTCAAATTCGAATTTATTTCGGATTTTACTTTTTATTGTTGGTTGAAAACAACATCAACAATTTGGCGACCACAGTGAGAGAAAAGGCAAGATTCCTGATTCTACGTTAGACGAAAATTTCATACGGTTGAGGTCCAGCCGAATCATCGGAAGGATCCATATGACAGGTTCACAGTCTCAAGTCTCTTCCACCACGGCGGGGGAAACAACATTACCTTCCGTGGTTAACATGGGGGAATTCTCCCAAGCACCCGCTGACTGGGTGAGATATGTTGAGCAATTAAACAATCAACAGACGCAGGCCATGCAGGCAATGTTGCGAGAGCAACATAATTTAATGCAGAATATGTTGGATCAAACGTTGGCAAGGGTGACTCTTCAACCCACCCAAACACCACCAGCGGCGTCACCACCTAGGTTACAGACGAATTTTGCTGGGCCATCTTACATGGACAGTACTATCCCAAATGCTGCTGCTATGGGGGATAGAGGGAAAACGCCCCTGACGTACCCCAACACAATCCCGCTGGGTGCTAGAGGAATTGATCAGGTAATGTTTGATGAGAGGTTGGGAGGTCAGGTTCACAACCCCATTCCGGTGTTTGATCATAATCCACCCAGGGCGGATCCAGAAGACATCGCCCAAATACTACGAGTGCATTTTGGCAAGAACCCTCAAACGGTGAATAGCCAATGTATCAAAGACCTTTTCCAGAGAGAGTTATCAACGAACACCCTCTCCCGAGAAATTATAGGCCGCCGGATTTCCATGTTTTCTCGGGAGAAGATGGTTCGTCAACCATAGAGCATGTGGGTCGTTTCACGGCCCAATTAGGGGAAGTTGGTAACAATCCTTTTTATAAGTTACAATTTTTTGGGTTGTCCCTAACTAGAACAACATTTTCTTGGTTCGCTAACCTTCCGGCCGGACAAATCCAAACTTGGAAGGGTTTGGAAGCAGCATTTCATGCTAGATTCTTTAATCCTCTTCCGATGGTATCACTCACGGATTTGTTAGAAATCAAGCAGATGCCAGAAGAAACATCGTATCAGTTCATCGTACGAATCCATTTGATGAAAGGTCGGTGTCCGACTATGATTGAAGAAAGCGAGATGACCAATTTGGTGGCCAAAAATATGCATTCACGGCTACGGAAAGCTTTTCTGGTAAAAAGAACAATGGCTCGGATGGAAAAAGACATTGATGAGGATCCCCATCCTGAAGGACAGAGGAAGGCATACGCTTGATTATATAACAAGCCATAAGTATTGCATCGGCCCAAAAATGTGATGAGAAATTATTATGGATAAGAAAAGTCCGGGCAGTTTTATGAGATGACGATTTTTACACTCAGCAATCCTATTTTGCTGTGGTGTATAAACACAAAAGGACTGATGCAGGATACCATGTGAAGTCATGTATGCAGTCATAAAGAAAGAAAAATACTCAGAACCATTGTCATTACGTAAAACTTTGATAGACATCCTCAAATTGAGTTTGAATTTCAGCACAAAAAGAGAAAAATATAGATAATAATCTTGGGAGACTTTTCACCATATAAAGCCAAGTACAACGAGAAAAATCATCGAAAAATATGACAAAATATTGAAACCCAAAAACTGAAAAAGTACGACTAGGATCCTAAATGTCAGAGTGGACTAAATCAAAGGTCTTAAAAGCCTGAGAATTTACGCACAGAGGAAATAATGCACGGGGCTGTTTACCAAGCTGACACAACTCACATTCTAAAGACAACAAAGAAGATAAAGTAGACGCCATACGCTATTACGTGCGGTGAAGATGGTGGGAAAAAGTAAATGCCATGCAACTCACGACCTTCGCCAATCAGCCGCCCTGTCCAAAGATCCTGGATAGAGAAAGAGCCGACATCAAAGTTGATAGAAAAAACTAAGTATTTAGTTAATCGACTAATATAGAAAATATTAAATGGACATGAAGAGACATAAAAGACCAAATCAATAAAAATATGAGGAAGAGGATGGGCGGTACCAATTTCGGTAGTAGTGGCTCGATGACCATTAGCCAAAGTGATAAGGGTAAAGATGTGGAGGGAGAAGAGGAAGAGAAAAGAAAGAGATTACGAAAGATATGACCTGAAGCACCAGAATCAAGTATCCAATAACCAAGAGGGCATGTATAAGAGACGCATGCGACCGGACCGGAAATAGAACCGTCAGAAGGAATGGACTGCTTCGAAGCTTGGTACTAAAGGAACTCTGCATAATCCGAACCACTGATCACCATAGACTGAGAGACATCAACTTGAGGTGGAGGTGAGTCAACATGTGTGACACTTTGGCCTGCAAACCACACAAATGCTAGCATATCGGGATCATAGAATGGCCCCAATGGTCAACACGAGTTCTTCCAACGTGCTTCTTTCCTCACTCACGCAACTCTAAAGTTCTTTCAGTAGAGTTTTCGAAAAGGAATGTGCATATTGTTTACATGAGTAGTCTATTCAATCAATTTGATTACTATTCAATCTTGGATGGTCTGGCACCGACTAATCCACGGGAGTTGGCCTAACTCCGGCGCAACTCCGAGGATATTATATCCTCGCTCACTGGTGAACGACTGTGAGCTATCGCTGGTCGGCTTTGATATCAACTGTGACAGCCCGGCCCGCAAGTCATGCAAAGCCAGGCGTATCGGGATTGTAGATTGGCCCCGCAAGTCAACACTAGTCCTTCCAACGCGCTTCTGTCCTCACTCACGCGCACCCTAGGAGACTTCCCAAAGGGTCACCAATCCTCAAATTACTCTAGAGTAAGCACGCTTCTAGAATTCTTTCAGTAGGGCTTCCAAAAAAGGAATGTGTACATTGTTGACATGAGTAGTCTTTTCAATTCATTTAGTTACTATTCAATCTTTGATGGCCTGGCACCGGCACATCTACTGAAGTTGGCCTAGCTCTGGCACAACTCCAGAGGTATTACATCCCCCACTTAAGAATGCAACATCCTCGTTGCACTCTAAGGATCCTTCAATTTGTAGCATCTTTCCTTAGTATGTCCCCACCTGTTGCAGTGAGTACAACGGGGACGAATGCCTCCACCTTGAGAAGTACGTCGATTTTCAAGAATCTCGTTAGTAGCATTATTAAACACTAAAGCAGAATTTACTCCCGATGAAATGAAGTCCAAAGAAGATATAGCAGCAACCTGAAGAAAACAAGCATACACATCACCATAAGTTGGTATAACCGACCTCGATAAAATTTGGTCACAGAAAGATGATAATTCAGGACGAAAACTCGCAAGAATACAAACCATAAAGAATGTATCGGGTTGCTTAAGCTCTTCAGCAGCAGACTCTCCTGGTGGAAGAAGACTATTAAAGTTGGGTTCAATAGATGACTATCACCCCAAAAAATATGACAAAAAAGAATTGCTGAAGAGTAAACAAATTAGACACCACCTCATACAAACGATGGATATCGTTTGTGTATAAAAGAGTTGTTTGATTCCATAACTCGTGGCAATTGGTAAGGCAATGAAAATAGGATGGAGTGATGAATCTATGGACTGCCATAATAAAGCATAATAAAGTGTACAATAAGACATCGGTTATTAACCAATCATCCCGGGATTTAGAATCTTGTGATTCCAAAGGTGTAACCAAATGGTTGAATAGGCCTTGACCTCGACACCGCATCTTGACGGCTTAGACCAAGAAGAGTAGTTGGCATGACCAACAAACTTTTCCGTAGCAATAGCCCGAGTTGAAGTTATAATTCTTGACGAAGAAGAAAGCATCATAAATATAAGAGATGATGGAACAAAATACAGGGCAGAAACATAAGGAGACGACGTGCGATATGAGGGCATCTAGTGATGTAGGAGATGAGAAGTGAGAGTAGAAGAGAGAGGGGAGGGGAGAGATATGATCTCACTATGTATCTATCTATCTTTTCTACTCTTCTCTTCTCTTCGTCCCCACTACAACGGATTGCGACTGTCTTACTGCTCAAAGTCAATTGCTGCTGCTGCTGTTGTGTGTGTATATGTGTATATATATATATATCTAGATGGATGGTTCTGACCGGGAACGGGAAGGGACAAAGTTGATGATGTTGTACTTCAACCATCATAATTAGTCAGTTAATGCGAGCAGTTAGGTTGCTTCTGTAATCCAAGCAGCACAACACGCTTGAAGAAGACGGAGATGAAGTCTACCAGCACCAAGTCCAGTAATCTATCTGTCTCCTCTCAAAACACAACTTCTTGTAATAGTACTAGTAATAGCACTAGTATTCCGCTCATTCTTTCTCTTGTTGTTATAGAATTCATACACACAACACACACACACATATCCATTCATACATTCATATCCCCAACTGCTGCACACTAATACAAGTTCTCTACTCCTTCCAAACACATAAAACAACAATCACTTCCTGTTTCCACAAGCAAACATTCAAAGAAAGAAAGAAAGAAAGAATCACCACCACCTTCATATTACTATTTCAAATATGGCAAAACTGGATCGGATCCCACAACAATTTAAACAATATCCTCCCAAATTGGAGATGGAGTCAAGACCAAGCCAGATCAGATGTCTAGCCCCTCCTCCATATAACATATTGTAGATCATAACTCAATGGGTACAGCAAGCAAGTGCAAGTGCAAGTGCAACATGATAATAATGCTGCTAAAGGAGCCTGAGATGCGACGTATCGTTCAGCCTCTTTATTTGCCAGCCCACTTTCCATGAATGCTGGAGCACAGTGACCGAAGAATCTTCTATGCAGATCTTCTGAGACATTGCCGGACTGCATCCTAGGAGGCCAGTCACCAGACATTTAATTGGTGTTGTATGGGTGAAGACCCCGACACAAGAAGAAGAAGAAGAAGATGATGATGACATGCTTCTCATGTGTAAACTTATGCTGCCAACTAACTCCCCCGGGTTATTGTGCAGCCGTGGAGACATTCCATCATCAGCCGCCTCATGATCTCCAGTGCTTGTCACTATCTGGAGTCTACTTTTACCAGACTTCTTCCGCAAAAGCCCTTGCCCTTGCCCTTGCCCTTGCCGGTTCCTATGTTGCTGTAGTAACTCCCAGTGGGATGGTATTCCATCTTGGTCATGAATCAAATTGTCAAGACCATGAGAAGTGCGATTTGGAAAAACTGCCGGGTTGTCGCTAGGATCTGGCGGAGAGAAATCAGATCTAAGTTTGTGTGGAAACGCCATGACCGTACCGTGCAAGAACTGTACCATCCGGAACTCTACCTCCCTCAGCGATTCTCCAGATGGTGCAGAAAAATCAGGCTGAAAATTCTCCATTAAACACATCATGTCAGGCGTTAAAATTTCTGACCTATGGCATCCTTCCCAGTGCCCTTGGCTCATCTCCACAAGGGCATCTGCAGATTGTATATGTTCCTCTGAGAAATTCAATTCCTGGACAATAAACTACTTCTCAATGCATAGAAAACTGTGACTGAACTACATAAAAATCTATCAGAGCATCTAAAGGCATGAAAATACAATGTACTCAATATGACATCCTAAGCAACTTGATCATACACTCGTTGAAACTCCCAAAAATTTGACTTGCAATTTAGTCATCGACAGTGTGCAAAAATCCTGGTGAATAGTGTTGTCATATAAGGGTTCAAAATCTCAAGTAGGAATTACAGATGACCTGGAGCTTCTCAGACAAGCAGCACAACACCATCAGTACATCCAATTCATGCTTTGCTTTTTTACTTTTTATTTTTTATGGCTTTGATAGGAGAATTCCCATGGTCCAGTTATTTCAAAGACAATAAGCATCAAAAGCCCTAATTAATAGGTGCATCATGTAAGTTCAGCATTCAGATGCATATGTATCAACAGTAGAAAACACAGAGATACCACCCCATTATACATAAAAATCATTTAAATGGGAATGCAATTATGGAAAACACACGCTTCCACCTTACTCAGGCTTACCAGGAGAGAATATGGAACTTTCACACGTCAATGCACACACACTCATCTCACGCATGATGTGAAATCTTAAAATTGCAGCACAAGATATCACTCAAACTAAGATTTGGTAAAATATTCAGATCACTGACAATAATCCTCATCTTTTCCTCACTTAGATTACAAAAGGTCCAATTTGTAAGATATCAGCGCAAAAAGATATCTGGAAAGAAACTTAGCACAACCAGTAAAGACAATGAACATTATGTCCAATCAATGACAAGATCACTAATGAACAAGCACATCTCAATCAGAAACCAGATCATTGACCCTTGCTGCCCAGTGAAGCGAAAAATCACAATTTTCACTGCACAAAAAGCTTGCGCAACAAGTATTTATCAATAAGTAAGATTTAATTAAATCTAGCTCACCAAGTAACTTTGATATGGCAGGAAATTCAATTGTTATCGAACAATATACATATAAAAATAAATAAGAGATTGTAGAATACCCAGCTTCTTGCTAATCCAAATGATCCAATTCTGCACCAAGTTACAGAATTGGCACCAGGGACAGTGCCCCAAAACATCAAATCACGTGCACCTAAACACTTTATCATTTCAGCCCAACCTCAATAAAACCACAGATACATATCATTAGTAGAAGAACAAGAGTCCTTGATGTTTGAGAAGTTTATGCTACAGTCTGATTCTGAGTTTTCTGCTCTAAAACTGAATGAGGAGAATATCTCTGCTCCAAAGCTTGCTTCTTTATCCTTTTGCTTAGACATAAAGAAAGTTGTGTAGTCTGTCTAATTAATGTGAATTCCTTGTTAGATTGACACATTAATTCAAGTCCTATCCAGGGACAGATTCTATGTGATAAAAAGTAAAGTACATGACGCAATTGCAGTGCTCCTCCCTATGCATTCATAAGGAACAATTAATCACTTTCTAACTAATGGCTACTTATTGGGAAATATAGTCTCATAATGATCCACTTGAAAAGAAATATCCAGATTTCAAAAACTATACGAACACACACACAGAGCAAAGAGTAGTTTTAAGGACGGATACCTGGCATACAGCTTGAGCGGTGGCGCGAACACGATCCAAAGGGGAGGTGTAAACAGCATTGAACCTGACTCCCTGAGACTTCAAAAACACCGCAAGCGCTCGAGCCTGGCGTTTCCCATTGGGAGTCAGCGCAGCATCGTGGCAGCGGCCACCGATCAAATCAGGCCTCAAATTCATATGGCACTCGCCGTGGCTAATCAAGTAAACCTCAGTATCGTCGTCGCCTGGGGCTGGGGCTGGGGCAGCGGCAGGCGCAGAGGAAGCTGAGAGGGAGCGGTGGAAGTGCGGAGGTGGGGCGAGGACATTGTAAGGGTCCCAGACCTTGATGGAAGGGCCCATGCGCGGGGTGCTGTAAGTGGAGAGCTGAGGGGAGAGCGGTGAGGCGGAGGCGTGGCACGGCAGCATTTCAGGCTCCTGCTGAAGAATTTTCTTAACGCGCGCGTGATCGGTGGCGTCGATATTGTGCCGAGCCTCCACAATATCATCGCCATCTTCTTCTACTTCTTCTTCTTCTTCACCTTCTTCGTCGTCTTCGGCTTCCAGGTGGTCATCTTCGGAAGGGACTCGAGCAGATTGCGAAGAGCCCATAGAAGGCCGGGGAAGGAAGCAGGCAAAGTGGTTGAAATTGGACTTCTAAGATCTATCCAGGATGCGTGTTTCTCGGACGGATGGGTGGTTAGTACATAGATGAGATTGGTTGATTTGGTGGGATAGGCCCACAAATCGAAGTCGAGAATGAGGCGGCGGCGGCGGCGAGGGCACGGTGAGATTGAGAATATTGGGGGGAAACGAGAAGATCGATGACAGTAGTGGTAAGATCTATATCTGCATCTATACGTAAGTAAGGGAAAAGAGAGAGAAATATGTAAAATAATAATAATAATAATAATAATGGTAATGATAATAAGATACAGATCTCATCTCATCTCACGTGGAGACTCAGACTGAGTGAGTATGAATTGATGAGACGAGATGAGGGAGAGCAGAGCTGATCCCCACTACACTACACTGCGCACCCCTCTCAACCTCAACAAGAAGGAAGAAGAAGAAGAAGAAGACAGGAGGATTGCTGCAAGAATAGGAAAATACTAGTAATAAAATAAAACAAGTAATAATAGGGAATAGGGATAGGGGGATGGTATGGTATTTTCCTTGTTTCCTTGCCTTGTATCCCCTCCCATATTTTACCGTTGAGGAGTGTATCCGAATTTGAATCTCTCAGCAAAAAGACCAAACTGTAATAAAGGTTGCCAGAGCAGAAGAGGACAGGCAGGTATAGATAGAGAGAGAGATCCTCAGGAGTCAGGACAAGCTCCTCATTCCTCATCCTCGCTTGTAATACATACATACATAAAGCGCGCACACTGACATGAATGGCTGGCCTCTGTCGGTCTCACAATAAGAGCACACAGTGGTACGCTTGAAAATGGGCTTCCAAAATCTGATGTGTTCATACTCACGGACTAAGTTCACGAATATAGAAGAATATATCATACAATGGCTCTATTTTGTTGTCTTTTTTCTTTTTCTTCTTATCCATATTATTATTAATTATTTTTTTAAAAAATAATTAAAACAAACTCAGTATTATCTTTTCTCTTCGATCCAAAATCTTCTTCGTAACACTACCATCAGAAATTTCACAACAATAACTACGGCGGCGGAAGCGGAGGACAACCACGACGGCGGCCTTCTTTTATTTTTTTGCTTGCTTTCGTCTTTCTGTTTGAGCCTCAAATCACAGCTGCGGCGGCGGATGACCACGATGGCGGCGACGGAGGCGGATGACCACAACCGCAGCGATGGCAACGGCAACGATTTGGTTTGAAAAGAAGAAGAAAGGAACAAAGCAAAAGAAGGAGACGAAGGAAAAAAGAGAGAGGAGAGAGAGGAATGAGGCATGGATTCTCCGTCGCCCGCACGAAGGGGTCATCGACTTCATTCGATTTATGAGGTTGGAAATTAGAGTCAGTGTTGTAAAACTATTTTGATTTCACTTCTAAATTGACACCAAAAAAAAAAAGAAAAAAAGAAAGAAGTCCTTCGCAAAGTGAGCCATTGTTTATGCTCTTACATTAGCACCAGCAACTTTTACTTTTTTTTTTTTATTATCTACCTACTTATTTGAATATTTATGACTTCACTTCATATTTCACTGTCCTCCCTTCCCCGCCTGTCCTTGTTCATTCTTGTTTGAAGGTAGGTAGATTATCATTATATTTTTTTTTATATAATTTGTCAATTTTTTTTTTTTTATTTCACTATGTTCTATATAATTTTTTTTTTAAAAAAATTATAATTATACATTTTAATTATATTTTTTAGAATTCATAATTTTTATTTTAATTTAACTATTTACTCATCCCAATTTTAATTTATAATTATTTTTATTAATATATTTCTTAATTACTTACTAATTATATAATACCTAAAATTTTATACCCAAACTAAAATAGACAAATTAATTGAAACGAGTGAGTAATAAGTATGTTCCAAATCCAAAGGAATGAATACACACAGTTAGATTGAGCTCACTTTTACAATCATTCTCTCATAATATCGACAATATTGTCTCCCTTGCTTGAAAAAATTCATTTGTAATCTGTAATACTCCGATTTTGGAGTATATAAAATAATATTATTATAAAAAATAAATATATTTATAATATTTTGAAATCAAGAAATTAATATTTTTTAATAAATTCTATTTATATTTTATATATTGATTATGATTGTTAACCGGATAAATATAAAATATAATATATATAATATCAAAAGAATAAATATCAAAAGAATAAATATAAAATATAATATATATATATATATAATAATATAATAATAATAATATTGAAGATGATGACGAAGAAGATATAATAATAATAATAATAATAATAATAATAATAATAATGAAGATGATGACTAAGAAGATATAATAATAATAATAATAATAATATAATATATATAATAACATAATTATATATATAAATATATAAAAGCAAGCAAGCAAACCCATGTTGGAAGGCAACAGAAGAACTAAAGGAGAGGTGGAAGAAACATGGAAAAAAAAAAAGAAGAAAGAAAAAATTAAGCCGTTCGATTTCGATTCCGACTTCGGTTATATATAATAATATAATTATATATATATATAAACAAGCAAGCAAACCCATGTTTGAAGGCAACAGAAGAACCGAAAGCAAAGGAGGAAGGAAGAAAGAAAAAGATTTAGCCGTTTAATGTTTATTCCGACTTCGGTATTGTATTCCTTGTTATACGTAGAATTTAATTATGAATTTTAATATGAATTTTGATATTGGGAATATTAAATTAGAAATTCTTAAAATAATTCATAATTGGCTATTTGGCTATTTAATCGACGAATTTCTTTAGCTAATAACCTATTCGTACTCCTAGCATCATATTCTGAGAATTTCGTATCAATCCGTGTCGAATTGAAAACGGCAGTGTACTGCACCGGCCTGTTTATTCATATCTTTAAGTATTTTTATTTAATAATCGGCGATATAAATATTATGAGGTATAAGAGTTTTATAGGTAGAATATCGTAGTCTACTAAATATAAAAATTTGAAACCCAACGAGCTAATTATAGAAATTAGCTTTTGAATGAGCAGGTAGCTCATATGAATAAACATATAGCTCAGCTGATTTGAGTAAATAATGGAACAGGTGTACGTTGGAGGAGATTTGGGTGAGATTGCAAAAGCTATGGAGTGTCGATAAGAGGTAAACAGTAATGAATTAAATCTAATTTTAAGGAAATTAGGTATGCATGTTGAATTCGATTCTGATTAATATGTTAATGTGATATTATGTGAATCATTTTGTCAGTGCATGTATATATTTATATATATGTGTGTGCGTATGCATATGAGAGACTTCACCGTTTATGATATTTGATATATGTATTTGATCGCGTTGGTGAATTTATGAAAAGGAGAATAGGTGAGCTGTCTCACCAGCCCTTTTCAGTAAATTCACTTATTTTGGCATGTTGCACACATATTGCACGGTTTATCGGATATGTTTTATGGATCTATCGTCTAGTCGCCGTGTGCGGCAGTATTAGGCGAGGGCATCATCTGAGGTTAGGATATTCGACCCCGATGTACCGTAACACTTTGGCGATAGTGGACGATAGTAGTCGGACAACTGGGTGACTTAGTCGCACAGTCATTCAGGGATTAGACCTATTGTAGTTGAGACGTATTTGGTCTAATCATTCGTGTTCGGTGTTGTTCCACTCATTGGACTGATCACTAGTGAGGTTTACCGGTAGTTTAGGATCATATGCCAAACTCCAAACGTGATCCCGTTAGAGCGCGCGAGGAGGAGTAGAGTTTCCGGGTTTCCCTTGTGTGATTCCAGGTTGCACGGATTCTACTACATTACACGGGATAGGGCTAGTCAATGGGGGTCCTATCTTCGCTATCACAGACTATGGGGCGTCTTGTGGTTAATGGCGACAACGTTCGGCTATCCATGTATTGATTGTGAGAGTCGTATGGTGGGTATATGGAAGTGACCGGATGACCGTTATACTATTATGGGTTTATCAGGTCCTTCCTTGAGCCGAGGATTTTTCGGCTATTTATTGATGATGGTCTAGTGAGCTTGTTATTACGGGGCCGAGGGTATTCCGGCTGCTTATTTAGACAGATGCAGTGAGCCTATTATTATTGAGCCGAGGTTATTCCGGCTGCTCACTTCGGCGGATGTATATATATATGTGGATGTGCATTGTTGTCGAGTTTGATATCTTTGTTGCATCATTTCACTATTTGCATGACATGACACGTATTTTATGATTGACGGGAATTAGACTTTATTTTAAAATGGTATGAAATGACATATTTCACGTTAGTTTTTAAGATGGATTTAATTCTAAACTGCTTTTAAGAAAAATATTTGTTTCAGGTATGCATGGCATATCCGAGACAAGGGACGTCTCAGGATATAGAAAGACGGGCTGAGTGAGTGAACTTACATCTATTGTATTATATGTAAATTTTTAACCAGAAAAACCTCTTGTTTAGGAGTGTGTTTTGTAAATATCTCACATGTTTACAAAAGTCGCTATTTATGTCATTTGCTTGCGCGTGACATTCACACCACGCACCGTTACGTGCGGCCAAATGATAGAAATAGCAAATTTTGCAAATATGTTGAATATATTTTGTCAGTAAGATAAATACAAGACACAAATGATAATGGGTATAAGTGGTGGGATATTTTGGCAATTTTTCCGAATAAATGATATATTGAGAAAATACTAGTTTGAAGTAATTAATATTTAAATATTATTAAAAAATTACTAAAGAATAGTTGAAAGTAAAATTTTATCGATGTATATGAATAAATTAGATATTGAATTAATAAAATAATAAAAATATATTTTTTTTGTTTTTTTATTGTTTTTCGTTGGTAAAGTACTTTGTTTTGGAAATTGTTTTTTTAAACATTTGTTGTGTTATATATAAATATATTTTTTTTTCATTACTTCAAATCATAAATTTGTTCCGGAATTTAAAAGTTCGATTTCACGTGTCATCTACGGATTTTTGCAAGCACACAACACGGTCAAGGTATTATTGTAAAAGCATTTAGAAAGATCATTCCAATCGAAAGAGCATATACAACATTGGATGCGACCGAAATGTTTCAAAAAAACATACGATTGCCGTGACATAGGCATAAGAACATTAAAAAGGTTGTGAAAATGGGGCGTAGATGTCCAAACTGGTTCCGGTATATGTGGATCTTTATTACCGGTCCGTTGTCGCTGCAGTTTGTTACTACATAAGAAGTAGTACAAACCATAATGAAATATAGTTGCATCAATCCATCATGGATGGTTCATCGGGGAAGGCAAGCTACGTCGCATGTCCGTCATGAAAGTTCGCAACTACATCCATATCCCATCAACTTTCATCTCTATCTCGTCGAAGCAAAATTGCTCCCATTCAATCCAATTAGTTATATATATATATATATAATCTTTATGTAAAACATCATATCTTTAATTATTTTCATTTATTAGATGTGATATTTTTCATATTTTGTGTGGTTATGATGTCTGTATTTATCTTTGCACAATTGAGATATTATTAATTGAAATTCGCCAATTGAGTGTTATTGAGTTTGTTCATTTTATATTTTTGGATGAATGTGTTTTTTCATATTACGTGTGGAGAATTGTGTTAGTAATATAAAAAATAATATTTTGTGATAAATTGTTGATTTTCTATGAATAAATATATATACTCCATCTGTCGGAGCCAAATGTATCCCGTTTATCTGTCCAA